TGAAGAAATTTATTTCTATTAAGTCTGAAGTCGGTGATAGTTGAAGAGTGAAGAATACATCCATGAGTATTTTGCTGTCGGTATAATTTCATTTGAAAAGCGATGTGTAAAATCTGAAGAAATTTATTCCTATTAAGTCTGAAGTCGGTTATAGTTGAAGAGTGAAGAATACATCCATGAGTATTTTGCTGTCGGTATAATTTCATTTGAAAAGCGATGTGTAAAAGGTGAAAAAATATTTTTATCAAGCCTGAAATCATTGGTGGTTGAAGAAAGAAAAACAAGTCCATGAATATTTTGCTGAATATATAAGTTAATTTGAAAAGCGATGCGTAAAATCTGAAGAAACTTTCAAGTCTGAACTAAGTGATAGTTGAAGAGTGAAGAATAAAATAAATCCATGAGTATTTTGCTGTCGGTATAATTTCATTTGAAAAGCGATGTGTAAAAGGTGAAAACATATTTTTATCAAGCCTGAAATCATTGGTGGTTGAAGAAAGAAAAACAACAAATCCATGAATATTTTGCTGACGATATAATTTTATTTGAAAAGCGATACGTAAAATCTGAAGAAACTTATTTCTATTAAGTCTGAACTAAGTGATAGTTGAAGAGTGAGGAATAAAATAAATCCATGAGTATTTTGCTGTGGGTATAATTTCACTTGAAAAGCGATGTGTAAAAGGTGAAAAAATATTTTTATCAAGCCTGAAATCATTAGTGGTTGAAGAAAGAAAAACAAATCCATGAATTGTGGAAGTAGTAGTGACAAATCGACGAATGACAACGAATTGCTGAAATATTTGACATGAAAATTGGTATTTCCTGATGTTTACAAAAATATTAGTTCACATTAGTTAGATATCGAATGCCGGTTGAAATATTTGAAAAATGAAAACAAATCCATGAGTATGTTGCCTAAAAATATGAAATACTAGCTTTGAACAGAGGTGTGTGAAATTTTGGAAAAAGTATTGACGGCGTCTTCAACCGAGTCGGAATTTAGTGACAAATCCGAATTTTGTTGACTTACTGAAATATATACAAATATTCATGTTTAACAAGTCGGGTTTTGAAATCTATTGATTTGAAAAACGTTATTCAAATTTATGTGGCTTTTGTGTATTAATTAAGCTCGAAATCGAATATTGGTTATGGAGGTGCAAGTTTTTCGACAAATCTGTGAGATAATCAGGAAAGCAATGAATGACAATATAGAAAATCGTGCTTCGAATTTTTTTTTTAAATGTTCCCTCAAATCAGAAGATTATTGGTGATTAAAAAGTAGTAAATAATTGTAACAATTTGCTGACGTTCTGAAATATTGGCATGAGAAAATATATATTAAAATTGGCCATGGCAGTATAAAGAAACTGAACAATGGATCAAGCTTAGAGGATCACTAATTCACAAGTATTTTACTGAGGACGAATATTTAATTTGAAAAGTGACGTGTAATTTTTTTTTAAACATTGGTGGTTGAGGAATTTGAGGTGTAGCAATTTGAAAAACATTTTATTGACATGTGAAAAGGCGTGTTTAAACAAACATTCTGAAAACGTACTCCCTTGAATCGGAAACTGAACGGTATTTGAGAATTTTGATGAATAAAAACAAAGCCATTAGCATTTTGATAACAGTCTGGAATATTGATTTGAATACACGTGTGTGGAATTTTTGAATAAGCTGGAAAGACAAGTGTCAAATCATTTATTGACGTCGTAAAGTATTCTACACGAAAATTCCTAAAAATTTTCTCAAGTCTGAAATTGTTCAGTAACAAAGCGATAAATAATTTGCTGAAAGCAAATATTGGATTTGATAAGTGATGTGTGAAATTTTGGGATAAGTTCGTCTTTCGTTTGTATTTTGTTATTATTAGACGAGAAATCGAATGATCATGTTTTGTAACAAATCCTTTAATTTCTTGCCGAGAATGTGAAATATTGTATATTAAAGGGCCTGTTGAAGTTTTCGAATTTGATCTGTTAAGCCGAAACTGACAGTGTGAAATAACAATCGGGGTTTGGAGTTATATGAACTGTTGGTTGAGTAAGAAAATTAAATAATGATTGAGGTTTAGTAACAACCCCATGAATATATTCCTCAAAGTATGAAAAGTCGTGTTCAAAATATTTTAAGAAAATTATTCCGAAACTGATGGTTGAAAAGTTTGAACAAGTAGGAGTCTTGATGGGTACTCCGACGTTCTGAAATATTTGACGTCGTATTTCTGAATGTTGAAAAACTATTTGAGATTAATCTGAAATTGCTGCTTAGGAACAAACAAATCGATGAGTATTTCAAAATATATAAGAGTTTGTTCAATCAACTCACGAATTAAATGAAAAGCATACAATATGGAATCTTATTAGTATCGTGGATATTAAAAGTGAAATTTCCTAATTTGAAATTGAACTATGGTTGAAGATCCTGAGGTGCAGTCACTAAGTCCATGACTACTAAAAAGGTGAAATGTTTTAAGGTTATTAAAAAAATATTTGTTCAGAAAACTGAACGAAGAGTATTTTGTTGACACTAAAGCGTTTGATTTGAAGGAAAGAACTGAACTATTTGAATTCTAAAACATAAAAACAATATCTAATCAATTATTGGGTATATGTGTTTTTCATATATCATAATAACGAGAATGAGACAATCTAATTGAAAGGAAAATTGAAAGTTGTAACATAAACCTGTGCAGGTGTGGTGTGAATAATATCTAACTCTGGTGTTTAAAGTTTGGGGTCTGTGTTTTAGTTTGGCAAACTATCGAAGAATGTCAATTTGACTTCTGGTATTCCCTAACAAAAAAAACTTGAATGTAGAAGTGGAGGGTGGTGGGCCTTTTTATCTGCATAACGTTTTTATCTTGAAGCGGTTTCTGTTCGGCATTTATTATCGATATTTGTGTTATTTTTTATATTTGATTCTATAGTTGATTTCAGAGTTACATGGTTAATACCGAGGTAATTTAAAATTTAAGACGAGGTATTAATGCCGACTCTTTCTTTATGAAATATTCTTTTATGATTCACCCAGGTATATCTTACTGTATTTATTCGATATAAAAGTAAATTAGAGTTCTCTTCTATTATGATACAAATCTTGGTTTGATTCGAACGAATAAATATCTGTACTTTTGAGGTGCATTTGTAATTATGGCGATGATTTCTGAACAAAGATTACAAAGACGGTTTAATGTGGACATGTGTTATTTGATGACATATTTGAATTATAATGAACTAGGTACAGGTTTATCCTGTATATATATTTCAGAAATTTTAGAAATCAATATATTTGAAGTTGAATACATAGTTATTATGATTGAGAACAAGTTGACATCCTGATTTAATGAAACAGTATTTCAGTAAATGAAATGAAGTATTACTTGGGGGTGAGTGAATGTTATGCGCCATGAATAATATGAGGTAGACAAGGACAACAAATGCAATGTTTTTTGTTAAACACAGATGTGACGCTTGAATATAAAGTTTGTGAATGGATACTAGTTTTTTGTTTTTATTTGACATGACTTGATAATATCTTGATCGCAAAAGTGTTCGAACAAGGAGTGCGAATTTTAAGTTATTTGAAGGAGAATTAATTATATGTTGCTAATGAAATTATGGTGAGGATGAGGTTATGTCTTTTATTGTTAATAAGAGTTATGTTTTTGTTATAAGTCGTGATGAAATATTTGTAAATGTCCGAGCTAATTGCGGTCGAGGTTTGGTTGGTAACCAATCTGCGAGTATTTTGCTGACATGCAGAGTAGTGAAATTTTGAAAAATAGTTTGAGAAAAAAAGCGTTTGGTTAATGTATTAATTTGTGATAAGGTCTAAACATATATGCTCTTAATCAGGTTTGCATTATGATGAAGTTAATATCTATGTCGATATTTCCTGCTTATGGTAAAGCTAAATAAGTTTCGTGATGTTTTTTGTTACAAGGTTGATGTATGTTTATTGTCTATACTTGACGGTGAAAAAAAATTGAATCGGTACGATGATTACGAAGCTTATGAATTTGAGGTAGATGTTTTTTATGCTTCGTGGTATTTTTTCGAGTGGAGTTATGGTGGAGTTTTTCGCTAATATATTATTTTTCTTACAATATACTTGAGGTTAACTAGTCCCTTGTATGGTAATAATATTTGAAGCAATACGATGATTAATTGTGTTACGAAGCAATTGATGATTTTTTATACTTACAAAATTGAAACAGGTCAATGTATCATGTTGTGATGAAACTGATAGGGTGATGATGACGTTTTGAGTTTCAAAGAAATTTAAGTATATTATACATACAATTATCTTGGTGTAATATGGGTGATGAGATTTGAGGTAGTTCGATTCAAGGAAACAAACAAGCATAATAAGGTATTGGTTTGGTATCCCAAGTAAGATAGCGTAGGTTGACATGCTTAGCGTAGGATTAAATGCTCCCCCAATCCAAGGTGTAATGCGTTCCGTGCCAAAGGATGAATGATGTCAGGGGTAAATGACATTTCGAACGGAGCCTCCAGGGTGCACTTCGCTATCCTGGTGTATGCTGTATCAGGGCGGGGAACTCGACCATGTGTACTTCCCCCCTCATTTCCGGAGATTCTTCAGTCTGCGAAGTCTTCGATCCTTCATGACAAGCCGCTGAGTAGAGCTGCTGGAACTCCGATGATCCGTTGTCTTTTGCTGAGTAGGACACGAGGGCACGCAGGATGTCCTGATCCTGCGGACAACTCCTTCAGTCCAGCCACTGGAACTCCCGCCTGTTGCTGAGTAGCTGGGCATACAGGTGGCCTGGTCCAGCGGAGAGCTCAATCCACCAGTCTTAGAGAGCCTGGAACGTAAAGGTCTTTGCCGTCCAATGGCGGCAGAGGCCTGATCATAGTCTTCCCAGGGTCCAGAATACATCCTTTCTTCCCGAGGCAACTGATGTTCGCTGGTCCAACCACTGCCGAGTAGCCGAAAGTGAATGCAGAAATGGAGTTTGGCAGAGACTACGGTTCCGCTCTTCGCATCGTCAGAGCTCTGAGGTATCCATCTGGTCTTCCACTTGAGACTTCTTCGTCTGTAGAGGGCAGCAAACAAGCATCCCAGTATCTTCCAGTCAGTCCAATTGCTAGGAAGTCCAAATTCCAACTGCTAAGAGCCCCCGACCAGAATTCTTCGAGGTATTTGACGAGGTCTACGTTACCTGCTTCATGCCAGAAAGCCAGAAACTTCTTCCTCGCAGGCTGAATCATGTCCATTCTTAAAGGTCCATGGTAAACACAGAACGATTCCATGCCAGTTGCTGGAAGTTTTGCTATGCCGGACAACTTCATCTCGCTGTTGAGAATTTCTACGCTCTTCTTTGAAGGTTTGGCTGAAGCCTGCTGCAAGGTTCCCGATGTAAGACAGCCGGACCTTCAACCCCTCCCCGTTGAGTGGAATGATGCTGGTGCGAAGATCCATGTTGAACCAAGGGGGTCGAGTTCCAGTTACTGGATATCTTTTCTTCACCAGACATCAACTGCGGATGAATTCTGAAGAGAATGCTGACAGACGTGCTCGAGGCTGTTAACGAGGTCGCCATCTTCTGCCCCCTACAACAGCCAGTTGGAGGATCCTGATGCATCAGATCTTCGAAGTCCAGAGTAACAGCTGCCAGCCTCCCCATGAGTCGACTCTCATCTCCAGTCCTTCTGTCTTTCCACGAGCCCAGAGCATCAGCTTCTGTATCTCGATAGGATCCGTCTCATAAACTCCAGTCTTCCCATGAGTTCAGAGTCTCAAACTCCAGTACCTTCAGCCTCCAGCTAAGTCCAGTCGTGAGATAGATCATCCAATGCAAGAGGACTCCCTTCTCCGCTGCATCTTCGAGTCCTGCAGAGGGTTCCACTAGGGCTACCACTGCAAGATTTCTGAATGCCAAACTTCTTTCATCTTTGAGAGGTGTTTGACTACGTAATACAAACAGTTCCCCTAAGGAAACTGCCGAAAACGTAAGAGTGTACTTAATATTTTCACCATTACGTCGTCCTATGAAATGTTTGCAGTCTCCATTTCGGGGACCTTGCAAGTCCATTCAACTTTAAAGGCCTTTCACAAAGAGCCTCTTGTGTCTTTGAACTCCAGCTACAAGTACAGATGGATCCTTGCAGGAAACCACTGGCAGTAGAGGCTTTTTCTAAAGGGCCTCTAGTGCCATTGAATTTATCTACGAGTACAGAGGGCTCCATTTTGGAAACCACTAGAGAAAATGTAGAATTTTCCAACGCCAGAGACCTTCCCAGAGGGCCTCTAGTGTCGATGAGATTAACCTACGTGTACAGAGGGTTCCATTTTGGAAACCGCTGGAAGATGTAGAATTTCCCAACGCCAGAGGCCTTACCAGAGACCTCCAGTGTCGTTGAGGTTAACCTACGTGTACATAGGGCTCCATTTTGGAAACCACTAGAAAATGTAGAATTTTCCAACGCCAGAGACCTTCCCAGAGGGCCTCTAGTGTCGTTGAGATTAACCTACGTGTACAGAGGGCTCCATTTTGGAAACCACTAGAAAATGTAGAATTACCCAACGCCAGAGGCCTTCCCAGAGGGCCTCCAGTGTCGTTGAGGTTAACCTACGTGTACAGAGGGCTCCATTCTGGAAATCGCTGTAAGATGTAGAATTTCCCAACGCCAGAGGCATTCCTAGAGGGCCTCCAGTGTCGTTGAGTTTATCTATGAGTACAGAAGGCCGGCCCCTTAGAACCACTGGAAAATAAAGTACTTCGAGCTAGCACTGAAAGGATTTCTTGAAGGCCATTTCCCGTTGAAGCTTCAAATTAAGCATCAGCATCAGAGGGCTCCAAATTGAAACCACTGAAATGCAAGCTTACACGTCGAGCTAGTGATGATAGAGGCTCTTTTCTAAAGCCAAAATTTTTTTCTATGAGTACTCGTCAGAAGAGATTATTGCTGTAAAGTATGCACTTTTTAACATTGCAAAAACTTACCGATGTCTAGATAATAAAGTTGTGTTAGCATTTGAGACTCTTAAGCCACTGACGGTCATTTCACATTGAATATAGTACACTTTGAGTTACTTATGTAGAACTAGATTTTTCATTCTCATAGCTCAGTAAAAGTAACAGGTAATTCAGTTTTCGCTAAAAATCACACTGCTTTGTGTGCGTCACGTTCTTCGTAGCAAGTCTGATTCAGATGCATGTATTTATTCTTTGGATTAATGCATAGATTTGGGTTAATGTACCTTACTGCAGAAATTAGGCTATGTGAAAACATTTCTTTAAATGACAAAACATCCTTTTAAAAATAATTGGACAATTTGTAAAAGTGCAAAGAAATTTTTTCACTGCGTTTGTAGCATATACATACTAAATTTATTGTTGGAGTTTTATAACGTTTGGGCTGTATTTTCGTAAAATTAATTTTGCATAATTAATAATGGAACGCACTTCATCATCATTCGGATACAGACATCTTTTCCACTGCAAAGTATCATTGTAGTAAAACGAACATTTTTCATTTTACTGTAATCTGTCCTAGCTAAATCAGCTGTTTATTGAAATAATGCCTGGTTACACAGCATGAAGATGGAATAGCTTGCACAAAATCAAAACCTGTTAGAAAAACTGTAAGGCTAAAGCATGATATAATGTGATCTTATTTTGAATTCCAGAATTACTAACCCCTTCCAAGTTTAAAATTGTCTGCTGGATTTGTCTAAATGTACATTTTTTGACTTTATTTTAAAGTTAGTCACATGAAATTCTTTGCATGCACAAAATATTAACGCTGTATTCGAACTGACTTAAGATTGTCTGTGGGGCCATCGTAACTAGGTACACAACAAGATATCAACAAACAAGCAACAAATAACAAATACAAATAATAATGAAACCATGACAATAGAAAGCTAAGCAAAGCATCAGATAAATGCTTCTAGACTTAAGGTTCCGTTCGGGTTTGTACACCGCCCCTGGATTGCGGCGGGCAATCGTGAGTTTATTTGAATCAGTGTTTTTGTGCATCATTTTATTGTATTGTATGCTGCTTTATTTTTTGTCGAATACTAGAAGGGGTATCAGTAATAGTATCCTTCCACGTGCTACTAGCTTTTAATATCAGAACGATGTTTTTTCACAAGTGCTTTACTAATATTTTTTTTCACTTTTAACGTAATTTGTATATGGAAAGTAGTGCTTTTAATTTTGATTAAAAATGTTGTCCTTCCTCATTTGATAGTCTGATGTGATAGTTTCATTCTTATAATTTTTCTTGTTGACCTTTATGTCGTGAGAACTTTTAAATTAATGTTTTGATGGTGCTGTGTGTTCTGGCATATGACAAAATCATAATTTTTTGCTCATTTATTAAAGAAATTGGAGTGATTAATTTCCATTTTTACATCAATGGCTTCTGTTATATGCACGTTAAAATGATTTGATCACTATATATGTATAGTTTGATAGCTTAAAACGAATGTTGTTTGACTTACCGGTCTTTATGTAATTGAAATTGTTGGTTTTGATGAAATTTTTTAAAATGTGTGCGCTATATTTTGCATTTTCATCATAACTCACGAGATAATAATATCTTTGCATGATTGGTTATCAGAATACATCTTCATACAGACATTTTGAGACCTATTCGCTTCAAAATTAAATCACCTCAATCGTACCATGTTATCGATTTGACTAAAATTCAACAATCTAAAACAAACGTGTGATCTTGCTACTAGCTATATTTGTTGGTGTAATGCTGTGGAGTAATGTGCCTTAAATTGATTAGGCCATCTCTATTTTGTTGCAGTTTGTTTTAACTACAGCGATTGGTTTGGCACATAATAAATATTATTCTTGATATTTTGTATTATGTGCCAGTTTTGTATATATGCTAATAATGATATCTACACGTGTTTTACACTAATTTTTTTTCCTTAAAAGCTTAATATCGGAATCTTTAATATCGCACGTAATAATGTCGATTCATCCGTTTTATGCTTTTTGGTAGATATTTCTCCATTATTCTGTTAGCTAATCGTAATTCTTGTTGCCCAAAATGTTTTATACTATACTACCTCCGTAATTTTTGCATATATAAATTTGTTCATTTGCAAAAATAATACCCGTTATAATCATGTATGGGGCTGTAGATAATCCGAATGGTTGACTAAATAGTTTTACTAAATCGTGTGAGCTTTTACATATTGTATGTTTGTCATCAGACTATCGTTGAACCTATTTTCACTGATTGGCATGGGTTTTTTAAATGTATAAGCAATAATCATGGTTTGTGTTACAGGTTATTTGATTTTTGATGTATATTTCAATTGAAAACATAACAGTACAATTGTTTTTTATATTCTGCTCTTAAAAGTGGGGTGCTTTGACAAGTATTCAACAGATTATTAAGCAAGTTTATGTTGAAACATTGTCTTTTCAGCATTAATATTCATAAGAATGGTAGATAGTTCGCTATAAATACTTATTATTATTTAGTTTTGTGTGTAACTATTGATCTTGTAGTTTGGTATTTGACATTTAGGTGATAAATATTCAAACAAGTAGCAAGACTGCACTGGGCATATTATTAACTTATGAGATAACAACACGTATAAATACTTTGGATGGATTTTTGATAACACTTTCAAAAATACTAGGACTAGCGGTTTTTGCTCTTTTTCCGAATGGGATCCCAGAGGCCATCATAACTTGAAACAACAACCGTCATGTATATTATATATCAATTATAAATAATTCATATGAAAGTATAAGTTTACCTTTAGTTAGTTCGAAATAATGGCGGTTATGAGCTTAGGAGGGACTAGCGGAAGGTTTATTTGGATTAGTGCTTTCAGAGTACGTCCTTCAAATTATATATTTTTTACAATCAATTGAGGAACATATTAATAAAAGATAATTGATGGTTGGTTCTTGGACCTCAGTGTTTATGTTCAAGTGAGGCTAAGATTGTTTTCATATAAATATGATAATACTAAATGAACTATATCAAAATGACATCATTATGTTCGTCTGTATATATTTGATATCGTCAGATTGTCAGATACCTACGAAAAACTATTGCTATGAACCTTCTAGGTATTCGTTAAAGTGGTAAAAACTTATTTGATGGTCCTATGTCTGCATTTGTGTGTGTACTGAATATATCAAGAAAGGTTTTCTAGATGACTTGATAACGTTTTTTTTTGTGCGAGTTTAACTGTTCAATTATTAATTGCTGGCCAACGAATTCTATATCTATTCATAATAATAATAATGTTGGATGGATATTGTTTTATAGTTCTGCATAATCTGTAGAGCGTAAAAATGTTTGAT